TGTTTGGTGTCTGTTGCTTGATGTTTGTCGTTTGCGATTTGTGGTTGTTGTCGTTGTCGTCGTCGTCGTCGTCGTCGTCGTCGTCGTCGTCGTTGTTGTTGTTGTTGTTGTCGTTGTTGTTGTTGTTCTTGGTGTCGTCCGTGGTGGTGCGTTGCGTAGCCGCTTCTTGTTTGTTCTCCCAGTGTGTGTGTGTGTGTGTGCGTGCGTGGGTGGGTGTGTGCGGATGGCTTGCATTGTATGCTACCCGATACTACTTTCCTGCTGTATGGAAGATGCTGCATGAAACCGAGTGGCTCTTGCTGACGTCACCTAGTTTATGCCATTCCTACATGCAGAGGAACGGGCGTGGTGTCTGCCGGCATGTATTTTCGCGCATCTGCCGGGGACCCGAGGATCTGAGATCTTAATGCTCTTCTACAGTTTCTACGTCTATTTCATCGACAAGTTCTTCTTCTTGTGCCTCCTGCATGGTTTTGCCTTCAGAAAGATGAAGTCCAGGCTGATAATCTGACATTGCCTGACCCTTTTGGTGCCATGGCTGCAGACAGGCGCATCAATCGGCAGACCTACTACGTGAGTTCCAATCTCGATCGCACGGTCGCCCTGATGCACCCAGCACCTGCTGTGATTGAGACTCCAGCTATCGATGGCCGGTCGTTTCTGCCGGACTGGCCAAGGTGCACTACCTTTTCACTGTTCCCATGCGCAGAGCCCAGCCCAGACTCACAGGAGGGTGAGCCGTGCTCCGGACATTGCTGCACAACAAACCGCGAAAGAAGCAACAGACCAGACAGGTCATAAGCCCATCAGGTCACCAGCCCTCTCACCAGCATCTTCTGACTGCGAGACGACAGTTCCAGGTTACTTCTGGCTTGGTTTCCTCTTCAGCTCTTTGACTCTTGGCTGCCGCCGAGTGGCTGGGGCAGATATGCAGCCATGCCCGCAGCTGCGGCTCCTTGGTTGCCTGTTAACTTTAAGTTTAACTGTAAGTTGGGCAAAGGACGCTGTGCGAATGTCTGTGGGTGTGCACGGTTTTGTTTGTAAGTGCTTTGCCTTTGCCATTTCCTATGACAAAGATATTCAGGTAGGCGTTGTGCTGCTGTTCCTGGCCACAGTGAGTATATGTCAATGCCTCGGTCGCTCAGTTTCTGGGACTTCTACCGAGACATGTTTTTCTAAGCAGGGAGCTGGAGGTAAAATAAAGACCTAAAAAATTACCAATACTATTTTTGGGGTCCCTGATTCTATTTCTAACATACCCCAAAACCCTGTTCCAATCATTAAGGCTCCTACATTATCCCCCAGCTTTGATTTAGCTGATACTTTTGCCTGGTCGGGCCCGTCTAGTGCTCCTTTCCGCGGGACTTGCTGTGCATCTTTTAGAAGAATCTGCAGTGATCGATCGGCGCCCTAATTATGCGGCCTCGCCGCACTCCCTCTGGCTGCACCGTCGTTGAATCCGTGACAGCTACCGGCTCAGTGGCGTGTTAGCTTGACGTTTGGTTGTCGGCCTCTTTGATTATCTGACCTTAGTCATGGTGTGCCGAGTGGTGGCGCGGTTTTTGCTGGAGAAGCCCCTGTTCCAGATGGGCTGCGGCATCCTGCTGGGACTAATCGTTCCGGTCGTGGCACGGCTTGCAGGAAACAACGACCCCAACGAGAACCAGATCTCGCATGTCTTCGGGCAAGACTCCATTTGCGTGGCCATGGACTTCCCGGGCTGGGTGGAGGTTGCCACCGTCATGTTTTTCTTTTCTGGCTTGCTTCACTCCTACGCCATGATCAAGGTGTACCAGCACTGCAAGAGTGAGTGGAAGGCGGAGAGCAGCAAACGATGCCTCCTGGCATTCGTGGCTTTCGAGATCCTGTGCGTAAACTGCTTCTGGATGGTTGGCCTCTTTAGCCCTGTATTGGACCACAGCGTCGGCCAGGTCTTTGCGCACACTATTCCCTTCATCGTCTTCCAGTTCTTTTTCTTCTTTTGGGTGATCTTCCTGATGGCCTTCGTACCTCCAAAAGACGTGAGCAAGATTCGCGCAGTGTCGTGGTACCGTGGCTGCACCTCAGAGGGGCAGCCCTGAGGTTCCAGGTTTTGCAGTCTCCCCGGCTTAGGGTTTAGGGTTTAGGGTTTAGGGTTTGGGGTTTAGGGTTTAGGTACTCTTAAGGTTTCTCGAAACCTGTCTCAGGTACTGTATCAGCCTGGGCTACGTGGCCTGCCAGCTCTTTCAGCTGGCCGTGATCTTTTACACGTTGGCATTGCTGGCCCAGCCTGGCGTTGAGACTTCTGGACCAAACCGCTTCAAAGGCCCGCTTGCAACTGAACGAGCTTCACTCCAAGTTCTTGAGCCCGTGAGCCTCTTCGGCCGCCTCACCTGCCTCCTCCTTCATCCTTTGCGCTTGGGCTTGCCTCGCCAGCCTGAGAATCCGAAGGTCGAGGCTGATGCTGTGACCGACTTCAAGACCGAGGAAGCTTAAGCTCAAAGCCGCGCCTCTGCGCTTGGAGCTCGTCCAAGACAGAGCTCCAAGAGCATATTTAGTGTGTAGTTTTGAAGCCGGTTCTGCAGGCACCCGCAGTGACAAGCTGTGGTGGGAGTCCTGCATGGATTTTCAGTAACAACAAGCTGTGGATCCCGTGCTGGTGGTAGGTCCGGCAAGCACACGGCGCACGAAACCCTCATGGCACCACTGTATAGTTCGAACAGCAACCTCCAGTGCCTAACCTACAATGGACGGGCCTGTAAGGGAGGCGGCTGTAGACCCTGCTGAAGGCAGGCATTTCAGCAGAGTCGGTCGTGGTCGAATCGGTAAAATTGATGCTAGCCAGTAGTTGAGAACGAGAGGCTCTGAGAGATCACTGTCGATAGTTGTTGGATGCCCAACGCTGAGGTAGATGCTGCAATGATCCGCAACGTGAGCTCAGTGATGTGCCGTATGTGGAGGTGCCTGAGATACATCTCTGCCCTGAGAACGTCTTTACTTTCGCAAGCTATTGTTACTTAGTGCACTTCCTGGAAAAGTAGGTGTTGAGATGATTGTGCTGTTCTCGCTGCTGCCACCTCAGGTTGCCGCCGTCACGGCTTGCAACTACTTCAACACCAACTACGCCCACGTTCTTCGCACATTGCATTTCCCATCCATCGCTTGCATCCCAGGATTCTTCTGTCAAGTTTGTAGTGAAAGTCTGGAGCAGTAAGTGACCCGAGGTCGTGCCGCCTGTCTATCCACACTTAGCTGGAAAGGAGTATCTTCATGGCCTAGGCCTCAGCTCCACATGACATCCTGCGATACCTTTAAGCCCTGAGCATATCATATTTGCGCTGTGAGCCTGCATAGTTACGACTTCCCCCCGAGTCGCTTGTGCTGTTTCCGTGCACCAGGAATCCCAGATGCCCAGACCCAGCCTACACCCAACACAGGATCCTTTATTGTTGGCGCCTTGCCAGGCTTGTTTCCTTCGTCGGCAGCTCGTGCTGAAACAGAAAACTGTCCGAGGTCGGATCCACGATGGACAACCCGGGCTCTCTCACTACTCACTACCAATTGTGTTCCGTTCTCTCTCGGTCGTCTGCGTCGTCGTAGCTGGTTCTTGTGGTCCGTGTTTGTCCTCTTTTCTCGACTTGCAGTATCCCGAAACAATACCGCTTCAAAGAAGCGTGGACTAGGTGGCCAATTTGCCGACCATGATGACACCGTTCGTCCTAAGCTCAGCGAGTCAGATTTCTGGAAGTTCTCGGCCACTTACTTGTGCATGCTGAGACTTGCGGGAGACGCTGATGCTCCTCTGCAAAAGCCCCTTTGCAGAGCTCGACACGCTGGGCAACCCACAGGAGTGCTGTTATCGGATTCGGCCTCCCGGTGCGCAAGAGATCTGCAAGGCCAAGGAAAGCAAGCACGGATGTCATTCAACGGCGAGCCCCGGCATATATAGAACAAACAAGAGCAAGGTTGCAAGCAATGCTGCGCCGCAGCCACAATCACGGCCGATACTGGCGCCAGCGCCACCATCACTACACTACCACCGCCAGAGCTACTTCGGCTTCATGCCCTTGCATGTTATCACAGGCACCTTGACAACCTGGAAGCAATCGGTTAAGGCAAACCGCTCTAGTCGTCGCAGGGATCCGAGCTGCCAACCCAGGGCAGACCGCAAAAGTACCGCTTTGACGTTACCTTTCTGCTTGTGGGCCTTCCATTTCGTTTAAGCCTTCGCCTTCGCTCCATCTTCGCTCCATCAAAACTTGAGGCATGCAACTACCGTTTCCCAACATCTTTCGAGCGCGACTGGAGCCACAGCAGGTTAATGTGTTTGCATGTCACCTTCAAGGCATTCAAATACACTGCGTGATAGGGTGCTCTAGCAGCCTAGCACTTCCTGTACGGCTTACAACTATGTCTACTGCCGGCTGAGTTGCGATATCCTGTACTGCTGTCGGTTGCAAGCCTTCCTACTAAGACCTATACAACCTGTAAGCCGCCCGGAAATCTCAAGCTTGCGCCCACTCGCAGGACCTGACCTGAGAGGAGGAGAGACTCAGACGAGTAGGATGACTGAGGTTGGCTTCGAGACTTCGTAGGCTACTCAACATACAGTGGAGTCATCCAGGCACCTTGCGAATACATCATCTCAGAGCCTTGCCGAGGCTTTTTTTATGCCCCAAAGATTTGGGCAACTCAAGCTTGTGATGCTGGAGTGCCAGACATCACGACTTCCGCACGACTTTCACATGGGCAGCGAAGCGCACGCACCGCATGAAGCCAAGACGGGACAGTAAGATAAAAGGTCGAATCTGAATGACAACGGTCCTTGATATTGCAAGCTCTAGCCTGTATGCCGAAAGCTCCAACAAAAGGCTCGACTTCTTTTGGAGTGCTGCGTGGCTAGGGCAAAGGCACCCTTACAACCGTGCCTGCAAAGATGCATGATGAAAAACAGGCCCGCTGCTAGCAACCCTACAAGAGCTGTTGGAGCTGCTTCCGTGAACATGCAGGAGTTGTGAGTTTTCATTTAGGATGCGTTTAGGGTTTTTGGGTTTTCCAAGCAAGTACTACAAAGGTAACAGCGCCTAGAACATTGTCACCATGCGCACAAAAACGCGTGATGGTATCACGTGTTTGCGTCATCAAAGCATGCGTGTTTGACACGTGTGTAGCTCCAACTAACTGCGCATGCACATGTAAGAAGGTGAAGCTGTGTGTAAGCAAGACTTGCACATGTTGACATGCAGCTATCTGCAGGCACCTAGGGACACTTGGACAGGTGCTCTCTCTCTCTCTCTCTCGCTCTCTACCTCTCTTTCCGTCTCTCCCTATCTACCTGCCTACCTAGTTTGTTTGTTTTTGGCTTGTAGTATACACACACACACACTCACATACACTACATGACAGGACATTACAGTACATTACATTACGTGACATTACGTGACATTACATTACATATCACTACATTACACATAAAGGCATATGCACATGCGCAGCCCCTCGCATGCCCTCCGCGTTCCTGCTGGCACGGGGACTGGTCGGCACTGCTTCGTAAAGCAGCAGCGTTTTTGCATGGTGCTGGTCATCGCGCTGTAGAGCTCGCGGACTGAGCGAGTTACAATACCGTCCTCTGTGAGCCGCTTGCCCAATCGAAAGCTGTGTGCCTCCGTGCGACCTCCTTCTTGTGTGTTTGCTTTCGGATGCCCCCGTTGCACTGTGCCGCACTGCCCGCTACAGCCAAAGGCATTGCTGCTTGCACGCAGGTGCCGCCTCGGAATCGCAACCGTCATCAGCCATACAGGTGGCTCGTTCCACTTCGCAGTTAATTCGTTGAATCGTTGACCGTATCTTTGGATTTGCATCAGACCTGTTACTGTTGCGGACGTCCTTCGCCGCCTGGTCGTACTCACCCTGACTCACCACAAGCCCTTTGTCTACAAAAGAAGGGGCTCAAAGCTTGGACCATGGCCTTCAGCGATCAGGATGCAGGCTGCAACGGCATCAGCTGCGAAGCATGCTTTTTGGGATCTGTCGTGCACCGGTCATGACACCACCCCAATCGTGCGAGCAGGCCAAATGCGGTGGCGCAGGCCAGCATGCTCGCGAGACGGCGTCGACCAAGACCCGAAGATCTGCCAACTTGCGCGGTAGCTCCCCTTTCTTCGACGCGGCTGGCGATGCGAAGGGCGACGCTCTGAAGAAGCACCTAACTCTCCTGTGCGACAAAAGTCCTGAGCTGACGCTTCGTCGCGCCAGCGAGCTCGGCAACTTCTCGGACGAGTTGGTTCCTTACTGCGGCGTCGAGTGGGTCGGCTTGGCGCCGAAGATGTACTCCCTTTCCAAGACGGAAGGCAAGAGCAAGGGCGTGCCAAGGGAGTTCCGAAGAACGAACTCAAGAAGTTGGACCACGACCTATACAGGGCCCTCTTGGAGAGTGGCGGTGAGCACAAGGTGGAGTTCAGTCGTCTGAATCCAGTGTCCAAGCTTCTCGCCTGTGGTCTGCACAGAAGGCTTCTGCAACCGCACCGAGCTTCCCATTCCGATTCGGCACTATGACGAGAATCGAATAACATCACACGATTGCAGAAGCGTATCGTGCATATTATTGCCCACAAGGCTATGCCCCACCTGAGGCCGCTTGGCTTTCATCTCGAGAGGACGCTGCAGAACAAGCGGCGTTTGAAAAGCAACCGCTTAAAGGCCTTCCGTTCCGAACAGAAGCCAAATATAAGCTCAATAACATTATAAAACGAAAGTAGAAAAAAGTTATATACATCAAACCTTACCCGCAGCCCTAAGAAAGCGGAAGCCGTGAACCCAGCAAGCACTCGCGACATGCTCGCATTTTGGAGATTCCTATCGAAATTGATTTCCTGGCAGTTAAGAACAGAGCTACACAACGTAAGATTAAAATGATGTGGTTGTGTAGCAGAGAAACCTGAAATCGCAAGGCCGAGATAGGCCGAGCAGCACGAGCGTCGGCGGGTTCGGTGGGTCGGTGGGTGGGGGTGAGTGGCAGGCCGGGCAGCTTTTGTCCAGCATTTTCAGGTTTGCGAAGCTGCTGATTCAGGGTCTGTTTTTTGTTTTGCAAAATTGCCGCTAAAGGCTCTGCATTTTTTCTGCTGTTGTTGTTGGTTCTGGTGGTGGTCGTTGTTGTTGTTGTTGTTGATTCCATTTTTGCAAGGTTTTCACAAGGACTGACTGAAAACAGGGAGGATGCCCGGGACGTCCTGGGTGGAGGCATGCAGTGAGGCGCCCGTGCCCGCTCCCTTGCAGGTGAGCATCAACAAGTTGTGATGAGCAATCTCCCATGGCAGGAGATTTTCCTGTCGCGCAGTAGTTCGTGCGCGCTTCGAGTAGCACTAGCAAGTGGACAGAATGACCTGTGATTGCCGGTGAGGCAGCCCGTCAAGCGCGGGCGTCCTCGGTGCATTTTGCAGCGTAGTCTCCCTCCCTTTCTTCGATGAAGCAGCCGTGGGTTGAGGAGATGTCCTCAGAAACATTGGCCCGTCAAGCAGTAAGACACCTTTGATTCAGTTCATTTAACTTGTTTGTTGCAATTTTTCTTTGCGAGTGGGGGAAAGAACTCTGCGACATATCCGGTTTCAGCCAGCGCTCCCTGCCTTGCTGCCCGTTGAACTCAGTTGCAGCCTGTTCGTCATGGCAGTTCAGACCGCGACCGCGCATACCGTATAGCCACAAAGCATTGCACCTTCGATGTTCAGAAGTCGTGGCCGCCTTGTAGAGTCGCTACAATCACACAGCGGCGGGAGCATGGCGCATGCAGGAAGTCTTGGCGGTAACAGGATTCTTGCGAAGCACGAGTCGCACCCCATGGCATTGTGGCGGGCTCGGAGGATAAAACTCGCGAGCGCGAACACATCAGTTCACGCGGTTGTGGCGCCGATTTGGACGCATGGAGGGTTTTCGGCGCCTTTGAATGAAATTCTGCCGCGGATGTACAGTCGACACACGGTCACTCTGTTTTGCTCCGCCACACGCAAATGGAGTGTGCAATGTGGCTGTGGGGGTTGTAGTGTGGAACGGACATCTATGTGCAGATGTGCCTTCCGCGCAACTGCATTGTGCACAACCGCGCATAGCAGCTCGCTTCTTTGGAAGGATCGCATTCGCAGCTGCCACGAGAATGAAAAAGAATTGTTGGCATGATGTTTAAGGTCGATTCTGTTGCGTCATTATTTTCTTCCCGTCACCTCCAAGACCCGACCGCAATCGCCGCATCCTTTGGTTGCGGGTGGCTGATGGCCATTTGCAAGGCTGCCGACGTGGTTCAGGGGATTGTGTGCAGAAACTTGCAGAATGAGTCCTGAAACAGCTATCCACAACGGTCTGCAACCAGATCTACGGCTACGTCAAGGCCCGAGCTCCTCAAGGGCAAATCGTTGCATGTAGCAAATGCTGGCGACCAGGTGCACATGAACCTACAATTGCAGCTGTAGCAACCATGCGCACCTCCAAGTCTAAAGCAGAAAGCCGGGCATGGACGATGTGCCATGAAGTGCTAATCAGCGATAATCAGCGTCTGTTTGCGAGCTGGGATTTGAAAAGTGCCGGGGTGGCACTTGGCAGAGTTTGCCATGGTGCGGCGCTATACGATGCTGTGCTACAAATATTATTTACCGTTCTCAACCTTCGTCTGCCCATGTTGCCAAATTCTGCTGTAAGACGAGGCTTCAGCAAAAGCTTGGGGGCGAAAACCATCGATCGCAATTGTAAGGAGCACGTTTTTTTCGCACCTCGCTAGCGAACCTGCGTTGTGGCCACCAAAAAATGGTTGCCTCCGGCCCCTTCGAAGCTGCTTGTGCGCAAGCTCTTGGATCCCTTGCGGTTGCACACCGTCGCCATCGCGACCTGCATTTTGGGGCTAATAGCCGCACTAGCCGCGGTGTTCTGAGACTTTGTCTGTATTGTGAGATCTTTTCCATGTGCCACATGAAATCCCAAGGAGAAGGCACAGATGCAAACACCCATTGCAAATCATCATCCTCGACCACACCATAATTTGTTTTGCCATCTGCTCCGCGGCTGCACGAGCGCACTTGTGTCATTGGAGCCGCTTGGTCATCCAGCTTCTGGAGCCGCCTCCCTCCGGCAACAGATGCTGCGGCGGCAAAGCTGGAAAAAAAAAACACCGTTCCCGCACTCTTTCTGCTCCGGGAAAAAGCTGTGCCACCGTCCGCTCGGCGAGATACCTATCAACATACAGCTTCCACCCGCAGGCGGAGAAAAAACTTCGCCCGGCCAAATCTCAACCTGAGCCGGCTGGCGAACATCAGCCGCACGGAGAAAGCTTTTCTTCTGCACCCAAGCGCCGAC